ACATGTTCCTGAATGATCACTGAGTCAAAAGTGAAATCAAGATGGAAATTAACAAATTATTTGAACTGAACAATAATAGTGACACAACCTATAAAAACCTCTGGGATATAGCAAAGGCAGTGCTAACAGGAAATTCATAGCATTAAATGCCTACATCGATAAGCCTGAAAGAGCACAAACAAGACAATCTAAGGTCACACCTCAAGGAGCTAGAGAAACAAGAACAAACCAAACCCAAGCCCAACAGAAGAAAATAAGCAACCAAGATCAGAGCAGAACTAAATGAAATTGCAACAAACAAAAAAATACAACAGATAAATGCAATAAAAAGCTGGTTATTTGAAAAGATAAATAAAATTGATAGACCAGTAGTGGGATTAACCAAGAAAGAAGAGAGAAGATCCAAATAAGCTCAATTATAAACAAAATGGGAGATATAACAGCCAATACTACAGAAATACAAAATATCACTCAAGGCTACTATGAACACCTTTATGTGCATGAACTAGAAAACTAGAGGAGATAGATAAATTCCTGGAAATATACAACCCTCCTAGGTTAAACCAGGAAGAAACAGAAACTCTGAACAGACCAATAACAAGAAATAAGACTGAAATTGTAATTTAAAAGTTACCAACAAAAAAAGTCCAGGACTAGATGGATTCACAGCTGAATTCTATCAGACATTTAAAGAAGAACTGGTTACCAATCCTATTGACACTACTCCAAAAGACACAGAAAGAGGGAATCCTCTTGAAATCATTCTATGAAGCCAGTTTCACTCTAATACCAAAACCAGAAAAGGACATAACCAAAAAAAGAAAACTACAAACCAATATCCCTGATGAACATAGATGCAAAAATCCTTAACAAAATACTAGCTAAACGAATCCAACAGCAGATCAAAAAGATAATCCACCATGATCCAGTGGGTTTCATACCAGGGATGCAGGGATGGTTTAACATCGGCAAGTCAATAAATGTGATACACCACATAGAAAGAATTAAAAACAAAAATCACATGATCATCTCAATAGATGTGGAAAAAGCATTTCACAAAATCCAGCATCCCTTTATGTATGATTAAAACCCTCAGCAAAATTGGTAAAGAAGGAACATACCTTAAGGTAATAAAAACCATCTATGACAAGCTCACAGCTAACACTATAATGAATGGGGAAAAGTTGAAAGCATTCCCCCTGAAAACTGGAATAGGACAGGGATGCCCACTTTCACCACTTCTATTCAACACAGTACTGGAAGTCCTAGTCAGAAAAATTAGACAAGAGAAAGAAAGAAAGGGCATCCAAATTGGCAAACAGAAGTCAAACTGTCGCTGTTTGCTGATGACATAATCGTATACCTAGAAAACCCTGAAAGACTCATCCAAAAAGCTCCTGAACTAGTAAATGAATTCAGCAAAGTTTCAGGATACAAAATTAATGTATACAAATCAGTAGCCCTGCTATACATCAACAGCAACCAAGCTGAGAATCAAATCAAGAAATCAATCCTTTTTATAATAGCTGTTAAAAACAAAAACAAAAACAAAAAACTTAGGAATATACTTCATCAAGAGGTGAAAGTGAAAGACCTCTGCAAGGAAAACTACAAAACACTGCTGAAAGAAATTATAGATGACAAAACAAATAGAAACATATCCCATGTTCATGGATGGGTAGAATCAATATTGTGATAATGACCATACTGCCAAAAGCAATCAACAAATTCAATGCAATTCCCATCAAAATACCACCACCATTCTTCACAGAACTAGAAAAAAACAATCCTAAAATTCACATGGAACCAAAAGAACCCACATAGCCAAAGCAAGACTAAGCAAAAAGAACAAATTTGGAGGCATCACATTACCCAACTTCAAATGATACTATAAGGCCATAGTCACCAAAACAGCATCGTACTGGAATAGAAACAGGCACACAGACCAATGGAACAGAATAGGGAATCCAGAAATAAAGCGAAATACTTACAGTCAACTGATCTTTGACAAAGCAAACAAAAACATAAAGTAGGAAAAGGAAACTATCTGCAGCAACCTAGATGGAATTGGAGACCATTATTCCAAGTGAAGTAACTCAGGAATGGAAAACCAAACATAGAATGTTCTCACTCATAAGTGGAGGCTAAGCTATGAGCACGCAAAGACATAAGAATGATACGATGAACTTTGAGGACTTGGAGGAAGAGTAAGAGGGAGATGAGGGATAAAAGACTACGTATTGGGTACAGCGTGTACTTCTAGGGTGATGGGTGCACCGGGAGACGGAGGTTGCAGTGAACTGAGATTGCAGTGCAGCCTGGGCGACAGAGTGAGACTCTGTCTCAAATAAATAAGTAAATAAATAAAATTAAAAAATAAAAAAAATAAAAAGGAAAAGAAAAAAATGTATTTTTTAAAGAAAGAAAAAGAATTATCTCACAAGGATTTTAAGGCAGCCACCATTAAAATGCTTCAATGGGCAATTACCAACATACTGGAAATAAATGAAAAGAACAGAAAGCCTGAGTAAAAAAAGTCTCAGCAGAGAAAAATAGAATGTAAATAATGAAATTACAAAACCAAAATTACAATAACTGAAATCAATGTCAGTGGATGGGTTCAATAGCAGAATGGATGTGACAGAAGAAGGAATCAGTATACTAAAAAATAAAACAATAGAAATTTGCCATTCTGAACAATAGGAAGAAAACAAACCAAAAAATAACAAACAGAACTCTGGTGACTCGTGAAACTATAATAAAAGACTAACATTCCTGTCATCAGAGTCTCAAAAGGAGAGGAAAAAAAGGACAGAACTGAAAAATAATTTGAAAAAATATGACTGAAAAGTTCTCAAAAGACATAAACCTACAGATTCAAGAAGCCAAGTAAACCCCAAACAGTGTAAACCCCAAATCAATCCATGCCAAAACACATCAAAGTCAAACTTCTGAAAACTGAAGACATAGAAAAAATCTTGAAAGCAGCATCAGAAAAATAACATTTTCCCTAGAGGGGAAAAACAGTTTAACGACAGTAAATTTCTCATTAAAAACCATGGAAGCCAGAAGGAACTGGCACGATTTATCTTTCAGGTGCTAGGAGAAAAGACTTGTTAACTCAGAGTTCTTTATCCAGCAAAAATATCCTACAGCAATGAAGAAAAAAATAAAAATATTTATAGAGAAAGGGTAATTTCTCACTAGCATACCTGCTTTAAAAGAATAAAGAAAATTCTCTAAGCAGAAAGGAAATGAAAAAAGATCTCAAATAATCCAGGAATCGTGGATAACGAGGAAGGAAGGATGACAGAAGGATGAAAAATATGTATAAATACAACAGATTCCTGTTCCACTTGAGTTTTTCAAATTATGTTTGATTGCTGAAGCAAAAATTATAATGCTGTATGATATGGTTCAAAATGTATGTAAAGAAAATGAAACCATTAATACACATAAAATATATATATAAACATGCACATAATATACACATATACATATATTAGAAACATTTAAAAATGTTAAGATATTAAATGGGGGAGAATAAAGGGAGCAAAAGTTTCTATACTTTACTGGAAGTGATAAAATGCAGCATCACCAAGTAGCACTGTAGTACAGCCAACTATGATTTGTTACATACAAAATGTAGTATCTAGAGTGATGGAAAAAAGCCATACAAAGAGATATACTTTAAAACACTGAATGCTAAAAAGTATTCAAGTAACCTGCAGGAAAGCCAGAAAACAAACAAACAAACAAACAAAGTGTGACACATCCATACTGTGGAAAACTAACTATATTGGCAATAAATAGGAATGATTCTTGACATCTCAACTTAGATGGATCTCAAGGGCATTATGCTGAGTAAAAAAAAGCCAATCTCAAAGGTTTTATACTATATGATTCCATTTATATAACATTCTCAAAATGACAAAATTATAGAGATGGTTACCAAGGGTGAGGAATGGTGGAAGGGAGTGGGTGTGCGTGAGACTATACAGAGGCAGCAAAGAGACATCATTGGGTTAAGGAATTCTGTATCTTGGTTGCAGTGTTGGTTACATGAATCTACACATGTGATAAAATACCAAAGAACAATATACTACTTGCTTTACAGCAATGTCAATGTACTGGTTTTAATATTGTTCTATAGCTACATAAGATGGAACTAACAGGGGAAACTCGGTGAATGGTACAGTAAACATGGTACTTCTCTGTACTATGTTTTCAACTTTCTGTGAATTTATAATTATTTCAAAATAAAAAGTTTAAAAAGTGAATTAATTTTGTGAACTATTTAAGAGCTCACTAATAGGATCACCATATCTGTAAGTAAATATTTTTGTTCTAATAGAAAAAAATTATAGCAACTTTATTCATAATAGATAAAACCTGAAAATAAGAAACTAATCTGAAAAGGCAACATATTGTATGATTCCAATTATATGACATTCTGAAAAAGTTAAAACCATGGAGAGAGTAAAAGGTTCAGTGGGTTGTCAGGGGCCAGAGAAGGAAAAGGGATGAACAGGCAGAATGCAGAGGATTTTCAGGGCAGTGAAAATACTCTATATGATACTAGAATGGTAGACAGCTGTCATGACGCATTTATCCAAACCCATAGAATGTACAACACCAAGAGTGAACACCATAAACTATGGACTTGCGGTGATTATGATGTCTTAATGAAGGTTCATCAATTGTAGCAAATGTACCATTCTGGTGGGGATGTTGATAATAGGGAATGCTATACACTTGTGGGGACGAGGGTGTGTGGGATATCTCTATACCTTTTTCTCAGTTTTGATGTTGAACCTAAAATTGCTCTAAAAAAATGAAGTCTTTTGAAGAAACATTGGAAACGAAATGTTCATGAACAGGTGATTAAGTATATTGTGATACAGTCATACAATGGAATACTATTCAGCAATTAAAATAATGAACTACTAATACACACAACATATGAATTTCAAAAAATTAAGCTGAGAGAAAAGCTAGATTCAAAAAGAGTATATAATAATTCAATTTATAGGAGCAGTGTGAAGAAGCAGCAGCAAGAACGATCCCCAGACTGACCAAAGCCCACACAATGCACCTATGTCCTGCCAGCATCACCACCACCATGCCAAAGAGAAAGGCTGAAGGGGATGCTAAAGGAGATAAAGTCAAGGTGAGGGACAAACCCCAGAGAAGATCTGCGAGGTTGTTTGCTAAACCTGCTCCTCCAAAGCCAGAGACTGATCCTAAAAAGGCCCCTGCAAAGAATGGAGAGAAGGTACCCAAAGGAAAAACGGGAAAAGCTGACACTGGCAAGGAGAATAAGCCTGCAGAATATAGAGATGCCAAAATAGACCAGGCACAGAAAGGTGAGGGTGCTGGAGATGCCAAATGAAGCATGTGCATTTCTGATAACTGTGTACTTCTGGTGACTATACAGTTTGAAATACTATTTTTTATCAAGTTTTATAAAAATGCAGAATTTTGTGGGTTTTTTTTTTTTTTTTTTTTTGAGACGGAGTCTCACTCTATCATCCAGGCTGGAGTGCAATGGTGCGATTTCTGCTCACGGCAACCTCTGCCTCCTGGGTTCAAGCCATTCTCTAGCCTCAGCCTCCTGAGTAGCTGGGATTACAGACTCATGCCACCACACCCGGCTAATTTTTGTATTTTTAGTAGAGATGGGTTTCACCATGTTGATCAAGCTGGTCTTGAACTGACCTCAAGTGATCCAGCTGCCTCGGCCTCCCAAGGTGCGTGTGTGTGTGTGTGTGTGTGTGTGTGTGTGTGTGTGTTTTCAAAGCTATGTTGTTAGTACACAGAACACTTACTGTTGTTTTTGGGGGAAGGGGTATATGTCACTAATAAAATGTCTCCAAAGCTGGATTGATGTGGGGAAAATACCTTTCCCTTCTAGTTTTGAGAGACTTCCTCTTGGATCTCAGGAGGAGGGACTCCCTGACTTAGACACACATGGCCTCCTTGGCACAAAAGCCTGTGGGATGGAAAAACAAATTTGTTTTTACGTTCTTTTCTCCCTTTCCACCTTTCAGCATAGACTTAACTTCCTTAAACCCAGACATCTGCTGGGATCTGACCCCCAATCATTGGTTACCAGTGTTTCAGACAGTCTGGATGTTCCAGTGATACCACTGAGATGGAGCCCCTCAAAAGAGCAGTGGTTCCATTTCTAGACTGGATCTTCAGATAAATTCTGCCATTTCATTTCACTGCCTGAGTCAGGATTGGCTTGTGAAAAGTTGTTAAACAATATTTAAATGTGAAATGTCAACCTCACTCTAAACTTTCCCTGTTCACAGCATCACATGAAGACTTCATGGGGTTTATAGTGGCTTTCTGATTTTTGGTAGTCCATTGAAGAAGGGAGTTTGAAAGTTGTTGTATGTATACTGTTAATGATTCTCTGCCCATGTCCTGCCTGAAATACCATGATTATTTATGTTAAGTATCTTTAATAAAGCTGGATACAGTTTGGCTAGGAAATAAAATTCCATTTATACAATATTCTGGAATAGGTAAAACTATAATGATGAAGTAGAGATGGATCAGTAATTGTTAGATGTAGGGACAGATTTTGACTAAAAAGGGACAGCCAGAAGTTTTCTAGGGTGATGGGACTGTTTGTTTCCTGTTTGTAGTGGTAGTTTATATGGATCCATACATGTGTTAAAGCTCACAGAACTTATTTAAAAAGTCAGTCTTGGGCCAGGCACGGTGGCTCATGCCTGTAATCCCAGCACTTTGGGAGGCTGAGGCAGGCAGATCACTTGAGGTCAGGAGTTCGAGACCAGCCTGGCCAACATGGTGAAATCCTGGTCTTTAGTAAATACACAAAAATTAGCTGGGCATGGAGGCAGGCACCTATAATCCCAGCTACTCAGGAGGCTGAGGCACAAGAATCGCTTGAAAATGGGAGGCGGAGGCTGCAGTGAGCTGAGATCATGCCACTGTACTCCAGCCTGGGCGACAGAGTGAGACTTCATCTCAAAAAAAAAGGGTTAGCTTTACTGTATATAAATTTTAAAAACTAACAACAAAATAAAATAATTTCCCATCACAACTTTTCAAATTCTATCTTCAATTATTTAATAGATATGTAAAGTGTATTCTAATCTTAGTTCTGTTGCCACCTATATAACACTTGAGGAGGTAGCTTCACACCCTTAGTTTCACTTTGCAAAATGAAAGGGGATAATCAAATGATTTCTGAAGCCTTTTCTTATTCTAAAACCTGTTCCTATTCCATATTTCTGTTAAATTTTTATTATTTTAGAATTAGCAAGGAACACAAAATATTTTAATGCACTCAAGTGGACTCTATAAACTTCTTTCACACAGTGTGGGCTGGCTTGCAATATTCTTGTTATTGGTTTTATGTGATCTTTTATGGGCTCTAAACATTTGACCTTACTTAGTAGCTTTGTGTAGATGATCACTAGATAGCACTCTCATCTCTGGAATAATCAGGTTTCTGACTATAAGAGCTGTACAAGATTTCTATTTCCTGGCTGGGCATGGTGGCTCATACCTGTAATCCCAGCACTTTAGGAGGCTGAGGCAGGTGGATCACTTGAGGTCAGGAGTTTCAAGAGCAGCCTGGCCAACATGGTGAAACCCTGTCTCTACTAAAAATACAAAAATTAGCCAGGTGGGGTGGCATCTATAATCCCAGGAGGCTGAGGTTAGAGAATCGTTTGAACCCAGGAAGCGAAGGTTGCAGTGAGCCAAGATTTGCCATTGCACTCCAGCCTGGGCAACAGAGCGAGACTCCATCTCAAAAAAAAAAAAAAATTACATTTCCTTTATCATATCAGACTTTGTCTATAGTTTGCTGTAAAAAAGAGTATGTGAAATGCTATTTCTGCCAGCCAAATGATGCCTATTGTTATTAATTTTTATAAGACATGATATTCATATTGCTGGAGAAAAGAAAGTCATTTTTACTGACTTCATTCAATATAATAAAAAACTTTTTTTTTAACCTTACATAGAAAATCTGGAGTCCCCAAATCTTTTGCAAAGATCTTCATTTCTCCTATAGAAGAGCTGCAGACTGGCAACATACTATACTACCAAATCTTATATTAAAATGTTCTGTTTATATATAAGTATAAGCAAAGCTATTGAGGAAGTTCATACAATTCAAGAATCAAATTTAGTAACTTCATAGAAAACCCTCATTGCAATTAGCAACTTTTCAATTTTTTTGGAGATGGGTTTTCATAAAAGAAATAAAAAGACCCAAGAGCAAATTATTATTTCTTTCAACAATACTCTCAATTTTGTACAGCAGAATAATTTTTGAATATTTATGAAAATCATCCAAATTTCTCACATTGGGAATTAAGAAAACTAAAGGTGGCATATATATGTTAATGAAATATTCAATAACTATTTGAATATTTATACTTACTTGGTACTATTTTTCTCTGATAAATTCAAATAACTGGGCAACTCAAGGTGGACTGATCTTACAAATGCAGGCCAACAGATTCTGTAATTCTCCTTTATTACCTATACTTCTATTTCTTAAAACTCTGAATCAACCCATTTAATTCTCTCAAATACAACACAAAGAAATAAAACAAAGCCCTGAGCTACATTTAATCATTTAATTGTTAAGTAGCAATACACTTGCAAAAGAAAAAACCAATCAATATTTCCAAATAATTCTATCACCATGCTAAACTTTAAAATAACTTGGTCAAGAAAGAAGCTATAAATCAAATTTATTTCCTGGGTGTTTAGATCACAAACCCAAATATACACATACATACATATACACATAAATCAACAGCTCCATATTTCCCTTATTGCCATCCTGAGGTTTACTGAATATGACATCGAAGAGTTCCTCAAATTTCCATACATCTAAGAACTTATCTCATTTTTAGAAAATATCCTGGCACAGAAAGCAGACTACATAGAAATAAATCTACATTAAAACTAATCAATAGCTAGGAAAAACAATTTAATGCTAACGAATTTGTCAACAAGACTTGTTAAAAAAAAAAAGTTACTGTTTCAGCAATTTCTTCATTGGAATAGTTTAAAAAGTTAAAAGGCTTTGGGTATTAAAACCATGCCTTCTGAATCACAAGGCCATACACGTGTAAAAAGGGAATGTTTTAATACGAATGGGACACCAGCCTGGAAGCCTGGCTTGCTTGCAGTTGACTCTAGATCAGGAATTCTTTAAGCCTAAAGCCAAACAAGAGAAACTCACAGATCACAGGAAAAAGCCCAGTCATCTTGAAAAATTCTAAACCCTCAGTTAAATGTCGTAACCTTTTTATGAACACTAAATCACAATGGGCCAATGAGAAACTAACAGTAGTCCTTAAAACTGACTATAGTCTGGGTTAGCAAGACACAATCGTATTACAATAGGTACAATTTAATGAAACTGTGTTAGGAATTTGAAGTTTCCAGGAAACTAGCTCCTTAGTTATCTCAAAACAAAAATCAAAAAATTAATTACTATGAAGGGGCCTCTTCATCTTTTCCTTTAAAGCACCATTAAAAAGTGGCTGTAAAAAAAACCTTTACACATGTTTTGAACTCAGACATAGAGTTGAGAATTAAAAACTAGCTCTACTCAAGTCTGCATCAAATATCATTTTGAATTCCATGGATCTGTGATGGCGTGAGAATGGGTACGCAATAAGAGGTGGAGCTCTGTAGAGCAGGGCATAAGGAAAGAACATCAGCAGCTGGGCAAGAGAATATTATAATGGACTCTTAAGAAAAACAGACTTCAGAAAGGACATAATACATTTTTCTTCTCTAAAATAAGTCAAATCTTATAATGTTGCTTTCAAATTTTGTTGTATATCAACTCCATCCTTTGCTGTTTTCCTTATTTGATTAGAACCATCTGGGAGATCCTCCTTTCTTTTATTAGTTCTACAGAATACATGCAGTTAATCATCTTAAAAAAAAACATTTTAATATAGAACAACAACTAGAGATTGTATTAATGATCAAATTTTCATATCTGCAGAGAAAGCACCATCATACCACGTAATCTAGAAAGTCAGTTCCTTTTAAAGGAGAGACAATTTGGGAAAAAAATTGTATAAGAAAAACTGCTCATGCCTACATACTAGTTTTAAAATTATTTTCTTTCCAATTAAAAAAATACTAAAAAGTTACAAAAAAGTTGTAGCTCTACAACTACAAAGTGGAAATAAAAAAGAAAACTCACTTCAATAAAGGCAATGAAATAATCAAATAATTTTACATAAAGCTTAGCTTCCCAGGCTTATTTATTTGTTTTCAAAGTATCTTTTCAAATTAACTGTTTGAAATTTTCCTTAGCTCACCTACAATTTATGAATACTTTATTATAAAGTATGATTTCTCCTTGCATTA